TCTCTTTCGCACACTTCTCACAAATCAGGGGTTCTTGACTTAACTTTCCTTTTAAGAAACAAAGAAATTACAAAAACGAGCCAAAAATACATTTAAAAAAAACCCATTTGTTTCTCCAAGTTTTTCACGAAAGGAGAAAGGACCACAAAAATCCATGTGGGCCCCACAAAAATCTGGAAAAGTTGCTGCTGATGGAACCCCCTTGCCCAGTTTGGTGAAATAAGGGGGGATTCGTGAGACATTTCACGAAGTGGCCCACATGCTGATTTTGTATCAAGTGTTAAAAAGCCATTTTGTGAGATGCCTCACGAATCTCCCTCATTTCACCAGACCGGCCAAGGGTCCCATCAGCGACAACTTTTCCAGATTTTTGTGGGGCCTACATGGATTTTTTGTGGGTCCTTTCTCCTTTTGTGAAGAAATTGGAGAAATGGGTGTTTTTTTCGAAAAAAAAAAAGTGTATCTTTGGGTTCTTTTTGTATTTAAAGAAAAAGGTTAGTTAAGTCATGATCCCCACAAGTTAGGGGTCTTTGTAGAAACAGACGCTTTACTCTTGGGGTAACGATGCTTTGTTTCAGGTATCACGTACCACGATCTTGGCTAAATCCTAGAGGAAACCTGTTGGTTGTGTTCGAAGAATTGGGAGGAATTCCTTATGGGATATCGTTAGTGAAGCGTGAAATATACAGCGTTTGCGCTGATATCTACGAGTGGCAACCAACGCTTATGAATTATCAAATGCAGGCTTCTGGTAAAGCCACTAAACACCTGAGACCAAAAGCTCATCTTTCGTGCAGCCGTGGTCAGAACATATCGGAAATCAAATTCGCTAGTTTTGGAACCCCCGAAGGGGGTTGTGGTGGTTTTCGGGAGGGTGGCTGTCATGCCCATAACTCCTATGACGTCTTCAATAAGGTACTCACATTTTCCATTCACCGTTGTTCAAGTCCCAGGTTGGCTAGATTTGGACCATTTCTCCTCAATATATGTTGGACCTCCGTTCTGTTCTCCTTTCAAGATCTCTTTTGGAGAGTAATCTAATGGGGTTCCATATAATTTTCACATGGTATCAGAACCATGGTTTATCACTTTAGGTGATACTTTTGGAGAATCTATGCCTGTCTAGCCTCTGTTGGAAGGGGCATGTTGGAGTCCTGCATCAACTAGACATGGACCATTTTTTCTCACTATATGTTCGAACCTCCCTTTTCCCTTCAAGAGCTCTCGGCTAGACTTGGACTTTTTTTTCTTCAATACAGGATGTAACCTCCTTTCTTCCCTCTAGAGCTCTTTCGGAGTCTAATCTAATAGGGTTCCATACATTTTCGCATGGTATCAGAGCCAAGGCCTACCACTTTAGGGGCTTAACACTGTAGAACAATATGTGCCCATCTAGCCTCTATTAGAGGGGGCGTAGGACGCACCCAATTTTTTTTTTCAAATGGTGGCACCATTTGACTATAAGAAACAAATATAGAAAAAAAGAATTCAAATGGTGGCACCATTTGACTAAGAAAATGACACTAACAGGATTCGAATTCGGGTCTGGAGTGGAAGAAAAGCCTTGCAAACCAACTCTACCAAAGAAAACTTGTTCTTATTGTAGTTTCAAAATACATATGGTGGCACACAACAAATTAATACGGTAATGCTTCTCACGACCCTAAATTTTTTTACACTACGACGGATGAACAGTACGGTGGCACGGGACACGATATGCTCTACGTTGGCTCCGTCCCTATGTTTGAGTACCACATCAGCTAAACCTTGACCCTTTCTCCACAATATACATTGAAACCTCCCTTCTCCCTTCAAGAGCTCTTTTAGGGTGCTTTTGGTATTTAGACTAGACACACAGGATAGGACAAGACAAGACAATTTTTCAACGTTTGGTAAGACAAAATTGGATAAAATGACCAATTTACCCCTAATGAGTTGTTTATATATTTTGATTAATTTATGTAATTTATTAAAGTTCAAAAAAATTTATTTTATAACAAAATATATCATTAGAAAGTACAGAATAAAATGACACTAGAATAAAAAGTTTATGTAGTTTCCAATTTTTATTTTATACATTTTTTATATTAATTTATTATTATTATTATTATTATTCAATAAATTATGTAAAGTATCAAAATATAGAAACTGTATAAATTTTTTATTTTGTGCACAATAAAGTAAAAGTTTAAGGAGCATAAAATACATAAATAAAAATTTAAAAGAATGAATAAAATGTACAGAGAGACGTATCTGATGTTTTAGAAGAGAACTAAGTTTTATTTTGAGGATATATTGGTAAGATACAGGTTTGCTCCACTTTGTTCTTGTTTGTTCCACATAAAAGTTCTGCCAAACATGGAACAGTGATCCCTGTTCTATCCTGTCCAGTGTACCAAACACTCTTATATAGTAATCTAATAGGGTTTCACATATTCTTACAGTTTTAGCATCATGGCCCACCAAATTTCTCGATCAAGATCCATGATCTTTTGGCTTTTGCTGTATCTTGCAGATGTGCATCGGGCTAGAATCATGCACGGTCCCGGTAACACCCGAGATCTTTGGAGGCGATCCGTGTCCGAATGTAATGAAGAAACTATCGGTGGAAGCCATTTGCAGCTGAACAGATTAATAGCTTAGAAAAGGTTTTAAGACCAATCTGGTCTGAATCTTTTTATGATTCTCTTTTTTACGGTTTATTTAAGATTTACGGGCATCCTGTTCTTCGGAATGGCAGTGACGAGAGAGTATTGAAGATGACCATGATACATGCTTTTGCGAATGGTGACGTTAAGTTGTACAGATATGCAACACACCGTCATGGTCCGAAAGCATCAGATTTTGAAGATTGGTGTAAATAGAACGGAAAACAAAAGTTTTCGAGATCTTTCAGGAAACAGAAGCTTAATTGCTTCTGAATGTATTATTTAATGAAGCGTGATGAGACCGATAACGAGTCCATATGTTGGTCTCTTTTTTATGTATCGGTTTTTTCAAGCAAAACGTAAAAGTTATCGGCTTTTTTTGTGTAGTTTTGTTTGTCAAGTTAGTATCGAGTTATCTTTGTGAAACAAGAAAAACTTCTGATGAGATGGGTCTATTTGTTATCGGTAAAGTATAAATCATCGTTTCTTAGTGGCTTAATGATATAGAAAGTGACTTATTTGGCAAGCTTTTAGGTAGAGTTTTATGCAGAAAGCCAAGTTTTTTTTCCTTCCCAATTAAAAAACACTCCTTCCATCCATGAAAAAAACCCCAAACAAATATCTTCTTAATATATACAGACAAATTAATACAGACGAACAACTTTATCTATATATAGGATTTGATGGAAAACCAATCAAACAGCCACACTGTGGATATTTGAGTGTGTTTGGTACATGGGGACGAGCGAGAGTGAGGTTGGCGGGTGGAAAAAATTGTAGACGGTTTTAGCGTTTTAATTTGATATGCTAGTCTAGTAATTTACCAGTCTTGTCTCATCTTTCTGATTTTTATTTTACTTGTTCTGGTGAGACCGAAAAAGATGTATTTTTGTCTCGCTCAGGTTTTATCATGTCCCGGTCTAATTTCAAGTCAAACATAGGACAAGTTTATGTATTACTTTATCTCATCTTGTCCTGCATACCAAAAGCACCCTTGAGGATTTGAGGGCTATTTAGCCGGTAAGCATTGGTCCGTTTGGCTATGATTTGTTAACGGCATGAACGGTTAGACCCTTAATCATCTCATCTTATATTTTTTTGAAAGGTGTCATAGGTTACGACTGAACTAATCCTGACAAATTATGATTGCAAGAAATTGACCCTGATAAACTCAGTGACCACAATTATTGTGTACGTCTGGAATTGAACTCCGACCAGATGGGATATCCCACCACATCCCCAAGACCTCAACCATTATGCCACAACCCTTATCTTATTTTATCATGAACCATGTGGCTTTTGGTTCAACCAAGACTAATCCAGTGTTACATGCCGTCAAGATGAATGGTTACCAAGTGTCCCTCAACTTTTCATTTTTTTTAGTTTTTCCCCTGAACCTGACCCTATAATTAAATATATACATATGTTTTTCGAGTCAATGATATTAAACAATATAAATTTTATTATATACTACACACTAAAAAAACAATAGATCAAAAAATGTTAGAAACATCAATATCTCGTTACAAGAACCGTGTATTAACCACACGGTGTACCACAAGTTTAACGTGACGTAAACCAAAAATCTTGAACCATAACACGCCATGACAACTATCACTAGGGGTGCTCATGGGTTGCGTTGATCGGGTTGAAGACATTTGAACAACCCAACTCAATGCTTACGGTTTGAAAAATCTTAACTCAATGCAACCCAACCCAACCCGTACGGGTTGATCGGGATGATACTTTGATATATTAAAATATTCTTCTAACCGTAAATATGTTATTTCTCTACTCATAATTTTCTTTTCATCGTCAACCATTTGATGCAGCTTATTCATACTTCTTACGTATATCACATTCAATTAATTTTCTCAATATATATATATATATATATATATATATATTCACAATTACTGAACAAATATACGAATGAGTTAGATATAGAGAATATATTGAAAATATGTATATATATGAAGAGCGTACATGGTAGTCTAATTCTCTAATGTATATATTAATATAAACTCAAAAATCATATTAAATTCAAGAAATAAAAGGATATCAGATTCATCGAATTGGGTTAAATTCAAATAATAGTAATCCTGTATCAACTCAATATCTGCGGTTTAAAATTTTTACAACACGATTAGACATCAAGTTGCTTCGAGTTGAGTTATCTCACGTTGGGTAGTGTTGAGTGGATCGAGTTGGTCGGGTTTTTGAACACCACTTTTAAAATACATTTTTTATAAAAAAAAATCCAAAAATATCTAAAAAAAGGTTGGGAGTGTTTCCACCGTTTAAAAAGGGGAAATTAGAGTGGACGAAACTTCAACATAAAGTTTGAAATAAGGAGTTTGGGGAGATTGCAAATGGGAGTTCAAACACCACATTCAACCGCATATTTTCCCCCATTTTTGATATCTGATTTTGATTTCGATAACTGAAATATCTTCAATCTCCGCCATTTCTGTTCACTATCACTGTAATCAACCACCACCGTCACTGTTTTCTCTGCAAAATGATGCCTATTGCCGCCGGCGATCATATAGTTTGCTCTTCTTAAGTTCCGGAATCGAAATCAAACAATGGATGTTCATAATAACTGCCTTCTTATGTTACCATTCCTCTGTGTTTCGCTTCTTTTGTTTTCTCTCTACACCAGACGACGGCGGCTCCGCCACCACCACGGTTCACCTCCGGTGATCACGGACATTGTTCGTACTATCAATAGTGATGATCACAGTACCGGCATTGAAAACCTAACGTCTCACGATTCGAACCCTAATAATTCCTTGCTTCTTGAGATCTTACCGGCTCTTTTGGAGGATAATAATCGGGGGGCGGATAACAGCGAGTCTACGGCGGTTGGGGATGAGGAGTGTGGGAAGAAGAAGAAGAAGAAAAGAGGGAGGAAGAAACGATTAGATGGCAATGATTCATCGAAAGGTCAAGTGGTAATTAAGGATGGATTGATTGCGGGAATAGGAAAAGAGAAAGATCATGATGATTTAGTGTGTTTATATCCTTTTACTTCGTCTTCTAGTGCCACACAGAGGAAGATTAAGCAACAATATGATCAGCTTGTTAAGTCACACGAGTCCAATGGATTGACTCTTCTTCAGGTTCATCTTCTTCTTTGTTTTCATCAATTGCTTATGATTCATATGTAATGTTAAATGACTGCTTGAAACTGCAATATATTTGAAGTTTTATGAGCTTTGATGATTTTGAGATGAAGAATTTGTATGTTCATCTTTATCATTTTCTTCTATTTTAGTGAATTGTTTGCTATTATGTGTTATGCTAAGAAGATCTCACTCTCTTACACCATGGTTTTTTCGATCTTCTAGTGGTTCTATGAATTAGACATACTTCTTTTTGTTCTTTATCATTTCAAAATCTGTTTAAAATACTTTCATAAAGTTTTATGGGAATCAGTTCAATTCATTCACCATCTAGACATACAGCTACAAGCCTACAATCATTTGGAGTGGTTCATCCGTTGGAAAACATTAAAAATCTCCGACTTATAAGTTTCGAGCAAAAAAGCTCATTTATTCTGGTATGGAGGAAGAGATTATGATCTACAATCGGCTATTTAGCTGAATGACCTTCTAACCCTCCATTGTAGTTCTAAGTTTTTATGAGAGTATGTTGTTTTAAACTAGGGGCAAGCTGTTTTGAACCAGGGGCAGATGATCAGATGAAGTTCATTGAGCTATGAAAAAGGTTTAGAAGGTTATGCTTTTAAATAAAAACATAAGGTCATTTTTTTAAAGGGCTCTATGATCAAAAACCACAGAAGATGTATCATCTTTAGCATTCTTTTTTCTTGTTTGTAGTTGTTTGGTTAAAGACCAAACCGAACCAAACCAGACAAGCCTGGTATATCCCACCTGGAGGTAGGGTCGGTGGGATGCATGTGGACATGTCATTTACCCCAAAGAGTACGGCGGTTGTTTCTGTGAGGCCCCCGACTTTGAAAAGTTTGAGAGACAAAGAAAGCTTGAAAGTTACAGGTAGAGGAAGGGGCTGCTAAAAGGTTGAACCGTGGACTTCATTGCAAGCCCAAGCCCGAACCATCTGATCTATTGTAGCTTTCCTTGTAGTTGCATAGTTGGTAACTTCATATTCTTTAATTGCTTTTTATGCAGTAAACTTTCTTACGAACCTATTGGTGGTTAAGGAGAGCACAACGTGCACTTGATGAAAAAAGAGGGTGTCTTTGAAAGTGTTCTTTTTTATTTCCTCAAGTGGAATTTGTTTGAAAATAAAGGTTATGCTTGTAATGTTCATAAAATGAGCATTGCTAACATCTCCAACAGCTATGCTGTAATATTTCTAAAATAAAGTATCATAAGTTAAAATTTTCAAACAAATTACATCCAACTCCGACCGACAGCTACTCTGATTTAGCAATTCTTTAACTATATTATTAAAATAGTCAATTCATTTAGTTGAATATTATTTCTCTCCTAAACAATGTAATTTCAATGTCTCCTATTGGTGTAGTTTTAGAGATCTCTTCAAATTTGGAGATTTCTACCCCTTCTCTCTTCTTTTCTCTATTTTTGCATACGGTATAACATAGCTGTTCGAGCAAAAATTACCCTAAATCTCCAAAATCTGTATTTTAGCATAGTTGTTAGAGATGAAATAGAATTTCATTAAATTCAAGATTTTAATTCGCTGTACTGGGATTCCATATGTAAATGACAAGATACGGGTAAACAGAATATGGAAACCAAGTTGTGTTTGGGGGATAGATTGGCGAAACATGGATGAAAAGAGAGTATCCGTAACAAATATGGCAAACTTTTAGTTGTGTTCATTTGCCACTGCAAATACTGGTATAGGACTTCCTGTCCTTTTGTCTTGGTCGACCTCTATCTTTTCTTGGTACAACCATACAAGTCTCTTCTTCTAACCAAGCATCTGAAGGGGTACTGTGAAAATATGCGGAGCCCCATTTGATTACTCTCTAAAAGAGCCCTTAAAAAAAGGAGGTTTCAACATATATTGAGGAGAAATGGTCCAAGTTTAGCCGATGTAGGACTCTTTAACACATCCTTCCCTCCAACGGAGGTTAAATGGGCACAGGTGTCCCGAAGTGCCTAAGGGGCTAGACGAGTACAGATTACCCCAGAATGTCGAGTTCCTAGAAGGCTAGAATGGTAGACTTTGGCTCTGATATACCATGTGAAAATACGTGGAACCCTATTAGATCACTCTTTAAATGAGTCCTTGAAGAGGGAGGTTCTAACATATATTGAGGAAAAATGGTCCAATTGTAGCTGATGTGAGACTCTAACATGTACGTTGGAAATGACCAAACCACCTTTAGATGTAGTTGCCTGAGCTTCTCCCCGCTGTATTCAGCTAATAAAATACTAAAGTTGGTAAAAAGTTCCCCCTTCTCCAACCAGTCTAATCTTTCAATATCCATGTCAAGGACTGAGTTCTTTTCTTTTTGGATATGGGAATTGTTTTGTTTTCCTAATTGAGTGTCCGAACAACAGTTCTCTGCTAATTTTGGCATTTTACGGGGTAGAGGTTAAGTCTGCATACATCCCCCCCCAGACCCTTCTCTCGAGTGGGATTTAACTGTTGGTTTGGTTTGGTTTAATTGGCGTTTTTATGGCATGATTATAAGCAGTTGTCATACAGTTTGCTATCTGAAAGTTATAAGTTTTATCCTCCCCCGTCTTTAAATTTCATAGAATACATCAAGTTAATTATTCAAGCATCATTCTTTTTCTTGAAGTTAAAGATCAAATGATGATTAATATGTGTTTATTGATTACTCTTTAGCTAGTATTTTAGCGATTCACATTATTTTTTGACTTGTTTGCTGTTGTTCGATGTCTAAATTTGGAGATTCAATTGCACCTGCAGGTAGGACAATTTGTCAACTGCTTGATTGAAGCAAGAGATGAATTAAAGCACAAGTACGTAATAAGATGCAATACATGTTTCGATTCATTAGTATAGGACATATAGAGTGAGTTTAGTTCTGTTTTGAAGTATATAATATTTAGAGTAAACTTCAAGTTTGGTCCTTGAGGTTTAGTGAGAAGTGAAAATGGGACCTGAACTTTGATAAGCTCCGAAATCATTCTTGTAGTTTTCATTTGGCTCTGAAAATGGTCCCTGGTTGTTAACTTTGTTTAATTTTTTCCGTTAAAGCGAAGGACATTTCAGTCTTTTCATCAAAATCTTTAATTTTCTCTTTAAAAAAATAACATAAAATTTATTTTATGTTTTCTTTCAAAAATAACAAATTTAGATCCAGAGAGAAATTTTATAATAAAATATTATGTTGTTTGACAGAAAATAAACAGAGTTAACGACCACGAGGGACCACTTTCAAAGCAAAATGAAAACCACAAAGATGATTTCTAGACTTATTAAAGTTTGAGTCCCACTTTCAGACTATTTAGCAAACCTCAAGGACCAAAATATGAAGTTTACTCCAAGATTTATATACGGCAAATACTCATATGCACACTTCTCACCTTTGGTGAAGTTTGAACCCTTGACCTTATGGGAGGTTGGGCTCTACCAGTAACCCTGATACTGTTGGACCAATGACCTTTTGGTATGTTGACTCTTTTATTCGTATAGGTCGGAGGTGATCCATCGGAAGTTTACGATTACGAAGGCTTTACTATTTAAGGCAGATAGGTCTTCATTTGACCGACTACGTCAGCAGGTTGGTGATAGGATGGAAATTTATTTTTTTATGATGTATATTTAAGAGAGTAGGGGGCTGTTTGGTTGGTTTTTCGTTATAGTTTTGTATGGATAAAGATGTATGTATAGATTGGAGAAGGTTTTTGTTTGTGAAGGTTTTTCCATAGATGGAAATAGCGTTTTTTTTAATTAGGAGGGGCAGGTCCCGAAAAAACTTGGCTTTCTTCATGAAGCTCCCCCCCCTATAAGCTTATTGAATAAGCCACTTTCTATATCATTAAACCACTACCAAACAGTCACGTGTGGCTGAGCAGATCAGCTATGAGTCCCATTAAGCTCATTAAGCTGCTAACAGATGCCCTAAATTGTGGTTGTGTTAGCAGATATACAAGCTAGAGTTGGAACAAAAGAGGGTAGAAGAGGATGGATTTGTATATAACTGGCTTCAGCAACAGCTTAAACTCTCACCAGCGTACAAGAAGGTAATCCAATCCTATCCTTTACTATTTCATGTGCTATTCACAATGAATAACCCTGCATGATCATGGTATTCTTTATGAATGTCATTCATTTTTTCCCATGAATATGATGTGTTTTCATCTTGAATATTTTTAACGAAATTCATCATGAATAAAACATGAATAGTCGGTTCCCAGGTTGTCAAAATATTTATGGTTTTTGTTTGAACCTCCCCTTTGATTATATTAATGGGAAATTGTCCAAAATAACTAAAATTTTGCAAGTAGCACCTTAGCATCTTGAAACCCCCCCCCCCCCTTCCCTAACCAAAAGAAAATCAATTTGTAGCCGCTTTTCTACATAATTGACCGAAATAGCCAAGATTTTGCAATTACCACTTTTTATGAAAAGTAGCAATTTTGCAAGTTGCTAAAAGGTTATTTGCGAAATGCTGAGATAGAAGCGCCACTTAGACCATCCACATACCTGCAATTCATTTATGCTTTCAATTGTGCGATATTAGCTTTTGTAATTACCATCTATACACCTGCAATTCTCCTACATTTCCAAAAGTGGTTCCCACTGCAACATTAATTAAACATATTATAATTTTTAAAGTAAATATATAAATTAATGTGATGGTCCCACAGTATATAATTTTATGTACATATAGAGCTTGCAAATGCAAGTGCAAGAGGTGAAAGTCTGACCACCCAATTGTAACCATGTGGCATGCCATATGTAATTAAAGACTATTTGCAATTGCATAAAGGACGGTGTGTGGATGCTCTTATGCAACCTTTTAAGTTGCTAAAATGTTACTTGCAACAGCAGCATTTTGCAAGTAGCACTTTAGCATCTTGGTAAAGTGTTATTTTTATGTATATTAAATTTAAAAGAAGTAGGTTTTGCAAGTTGCTAAAGTGCTACTTGTGACATCTTGGTTTATTTCGGTCAATTGAATATAAAATCTGTATTAAATGAATTGGGAACTCTGGAATGGCTATTTTGGACAATTTATCTTACGTTAAGCTTTTCTAAAAATGATGCTAGAGAACGATCTCGTCTAACAGACATTGACCATCACACAGATGCTTGAAATTGGTGCTTACATGGAGTCGAAAGCTAAATCCGTTGAAACCACCAAAGATACCGATTATGATACATCTGATATTTCTTTCGAGGAGCTATTAGCTCGCGAGAAAAAAGATACTTTTTGGTCAGTTTTCTCAACTCAGCTTCGTTTTATCTTCATCTCTTGCTCAAATACCGTTAGTTCGTTTGCAGGCAAAAAAAGGGGAAACCGAGATCAGGGTCGGGTTGATGGCGAGTTTTTTTTTTTCAAAGCGGATTTTTATTTTGGGTACTCCTGTAGGTTATATGTTACAATTTTTGGGTAAATGGTCTTATGATGTCAATACAATTGGGTCTTGCTTAAACCCAATAATAACATCCCATTTACTTGTCAACAGCTATGTTATACTTTTTCTAAAATAGAGTACTTTTAGGATTTTTTAAATGGTGGAAAATAATTAAAATATTATTTCTCTTTTATATAAGATTTTAAAGATTTCTCCAAATTTGAAAATCTCCATCATCTCTCTGTTCTTTTCTCTATTTTAGCATAACTGTTGGAGTAAAAATTTGTTAGATCTCGGTTTCTATCTTAGCATAGTTGTTGGAGATGATCTAACTCTGTTTTTTGTTGTTCTTAATCCGTTGTTGATCATTAGAAAAAGCTTTTTAGGTGCCTAATTTACCAAGAAAAAGAAAATGTAAAAATGGCAAAATGTAATAAAGTTTAATTTAGTTTCTAATTAATGTAAGGAAGATTTTGTTTTCCTTAATTGATGTAATAAAATTTTGAAATTTTCTATTTTTTACCCATTTTGGCTGGTAATTTGTTGATCTTGTAATATTTGATGATACTAACACCCATATATGATATGTTTATGAAGGAGTTACAACAAAAAGTGGACAAAGAACTTCAAATTTACATCATTAATTGTTACATTAAATGGAAATTTTAGAACTTTGCTATATTCATTTAAAAAAAGGAAATCATTATATTAAATAAAACGAACCAAAATTTGTTACATTTTACCTAAAAAAGAAAATCAAATATGACAAGAGTTGGTTGATAAGCTTTAACTTGATGTAAAAGTTGTAATAATAGGAGGTTCGTTTAAATAGTTCTAACAAGTAACAACTTTGAAACCATGCTTTTTGTAAGCATCCATGATAAATAATATAATAAAGTTTTGTATTCGTTATGAATAATTAGAAAGATACTCTTCAGCGAGATATATCTCGATTTTAATGTTTCGTTTTATTTTTTTGGTCTCTATCGATATTATAATATGGATTATTGTGGTTTTGAACAAGCAATAATGTTTTTTTTTAAATATGAATTTGAAGATATTATAAAAATGATAAAATTTATCTTTTTTTTTTGTATAATTACTTTAATTCAAATTTTATTTAAATTTAGGGACGAAATAATCTGTTTTTGGTTTAATATTATAGTTTTTATAAAGATAATAACTAAGTATTCTATTAAAACTCAATAATTATCCTAATTATGTTTTAGATATATTTAAAATGAGAATTTTATCATGTATTTGATTATATTTATCTACAGTTAGTTACACGAATTCAAATATGGAGCTTTATTTATACACAATTTATCTGTAATCTTGAATTTTAAGTAATACGTATCAATGTACAATATTTCATGTATAAAATATGGCTTTTAAGAGTTTTTATCAAATACTTTATAATATATAGTATACATATTCCTTATAAATATTCATATAATAGGCATAAATAAACTGAAATATGCGGTAAAAGTCCCTTTTAAAATTTGATTTTTCTGTAAACAATTAAAATAAAAAAAAGAAAAATTAATAATAATTATTATTGGAAAAAGGAGAGGAGAAAAACAAAACAGACCTAATCTAAGAAACTAGCAAATTAGGCATGTTCTTTTACTGCTACGCATATTCATATGTGAATCGTTTACACTCCCTCTTGCAATTCAATGCAACTACTGCTACATCTCACCTTCAATTTCATTTGCCAAATTCTCTTTCTCCCTTCATATTCATATACCATCCATCACCTTCTTTACATCATCAGTCTATCTTCACAGATGAATAGATCTTTCGTACAAACCATAAGCACGCGTAAAACCCGATCGTACCCGTTAACACAAAGAAGGCATACGAAGCAATCGACATGTACCCAAAGTACAGAATCCCGGAAACGAGTTTTGTAATTTCCAACTTGGTGAAAAAGTAGAAGATCGAGTAGAGGAAAAGGTAGACGGCGGACGAACCGGCGGTCAAGTATGCCCGCCACCACCAATGGTAGTCTTCACTGCATAACTGGAAGTAACACAGCACCACCGTTATTTCCGCACATGTGATGATCAATATCACAAACACGATGAATAGAAACCCGAATATGTAGTAGAATTGGTTCAGCCAAATGGAGGTTAGAATGAAGAATAGCTCGATGAAAACAGCCCCAAATGGTAGAATCCCGCCAATTAGGATCGAGAAAACCGGTTTCATGTACCAGGCTTGTTCCGGCACTTGTCTTGGGATCTTGTTCGTTTTTACGGGATCGTCCACAATCGGCTTTTTGAAACCCAAGTAACTGCCGACAAAGACCAAGGGTACGGAAATCCCAAACCACAAGCAAACAAGAGCGAACATGGTCCCGAAAGGTACGGCTCCGGAAGACTTCTCGCCCCAAATTAACGCATTGAGAACGAAGAAAATTGCGAATAAGATACCGGGAAACATGAATGCAGTTTTCAGTGTGTTCCGCTTCCATTCTGTGCCTTTGAACATTTTGTACAAGCGGGCGGAGGAATAACCGGCGAATAAGCCCATAAACACCCATAAAAGAACCATAGCCGTCATAAGTCCACCACGGTTGGAGGGTGACAAGAAACCTAGTAACGCGAAGATCATAGTTACGAGTGTCATTCCGAGGATTTGGACACCGGTTCCGACGTAAACAGAAAGCAGGCCGGATTTTGCAGGAGCTCTAAAAACATCTCCGTGAAGAAGTTTCCATCCGGTTTCTTCCTGGGCTTCATCTTGTGTGTCCAATTGATTATAGTTTGCAATATCTCTGTAAAGCGTTCTCATCATGATCATGGCTACCATTCCCGAAAGAAAGAGGACGATCATTAGCGAGTTTATTATCGAAAACCAGTGGATTTGATCATCGTACATAAGGAGGTAAGTATCCCAACGCGATGCCCATTTGATATCGCTCTCCTGCCAAAATTGACAAACATAAATAATGACTAGTTGTATGCAACGGGATGCAAAATTTTATTATAGATCGAGAACGGAATATTAGTATAATTTATCTTTAAAGAAGAAATCCGAAATTTATGTGTAAATAAAGTAGAAATTACAAGTACCGGTTGAACATGTCTTGCTAATTTAGACATCCAGTAAAAAAACCCAATGATTATATGTCAATAATGATGTCAAATCAAAGATTTAAAATTCTCGTTATCGATATAATTTGTTTAATTCAAAATCTTGATATACTTTCAATACTTCAGATTTAAATATAAAGGTGTAAATTATTTTAGTTTTAATTTATGGATAATGATGCAAAAATATCGTATTAGTAGGGATTAATAATTATTTTGTATTTCACCATGTTTATTAGTTGGTTTTGGTTATTAATTAGTTTTATGGAGTTTAAAGAGCTTTTAGTAAACTGGAAATTTAAGGGATTATGCATTACTAGGCAATACCCAATGCTTAATAAGTTGTTATTAAGACTTTTAGCTGAATGCATTATAATATAGCATAGATAAAAAGGGCAAAATGTATAAGCCAACTGAATGGTAGAAGGACAGGGTGCTAGGGTTTCATTAAATCATACCTTGAAAGTAACATCATATGAAAATACCACCTCCTTGTCTGTATCAACTTCCTGTGGCACCGTGCTTCCTTGAATTATATTTTTAGTATTTTGATTGCATGTCGTCAACTGCGGATTCTTGTCATCCCACTCTTTGTACTCATGATTGATACTATAGAAGAAGTTAGGGGAAAAGTTTAAGAGATTTGCATGAAAGACAATCAATTTAGACCAATGCGCCATTGGCCCAGCGGTGCCGACCCATCATCCCAGGAGGTCAAGGTTCAAACATCACCAAAAGTTAAGGAGTGTGCATGCGTATTTTCCGTGTGTGTTCGTGTGTATATATGTAGAGAGGTTCAGGGGAAAACCCTAAAAAATTGAAAAACTGAGTAACACTTGGTTACCATTTATCTGGACGACATGCACATGTGCATACAAGGGTCCAGATCCCTTCTTACGCTTCTCACCTTAACTCCTACTCTCTTACGATCCTTCGGCTATGTGTGTATATACACTTCGAGAAAAAGATTTAGCAAAGACTAGCCAAGTAATGCTGGATCAACTTTGCCATTTGACTATATCAAGAGAAGGTAAACAGGATGGTTCGATACTGTAAGCCATTATAAGTTTTTCCCCATGTTTGATCAAGATGATGTTCAAGAAGCTGTCGTTAATTTCAATGAAGTACGTACTAAAATCCTCCCAACACATCAACTAAAAAAGACAATGAACTACAACAAAAGGTGGCCACACATAAGGCAGGAATGAGAATCAAATACCTGTTTGGAGTAACTTCAAACCCGACAATTCGAGCAGAATCAGTCTCAAGGTCCTTGTGATACATGACTCTAAAGCTCAGGTGGTTATTGATGAAATACTTTTCCTCTTTGCTCTGGAAAAGTAAATGAAAGAATAAATTCCTGACAATATTAAAAATCAAAACAAATGGTTGAGTGCAATTTTTTCCTAAAAAACACACCCCAGCATAGTTTCCTTTGAACCCTACACGAAAACCATGTTCGTAAGTGGTTGACTGAGTACCATCCCTTCTTTGTCTAAGAACAGCAACTGGGAGGTTGTCTAAAATCCTGCATTGCATATCATCCAAAAGAAAGTTATGCAGGGCATTATGCATTTAGGAACAGTCATTTGTAAAGATGTTCAAAACCATAAAGTTACTGAATTTGAGTAATCCTATCCAACTACCATGTAGCATCAGCAACTACTCGGGTACAATGGATATGAAACTGATATGTGCCATAAAAATATGGAAGGGTTTGATAAGCATGTCACATACATGTTAACCCGGTACTCATCATCAATTTTTTCCTTGAAGTTCTTTGCAGATTGAGCATCAAGCTTTACTCTACAACCAACCTTACATGGGAGCTCCTCTCTCATTGAAAACTGAAATGGAAATTAGAAACTTAGATCATAAAAAACATGCAAGGGAGAAACGAGAGGAAATAATAGAACAAATAGTGTTCTCTCAAGTGTTTCCCCCAGCTCTATCTAACAACTAAAATCCTTGCCAAGAATTAGAAAGTTAGAAAAAGTTAACAGATACAGACCGTATAGACTGAGTTCTCTATGCGATCTCCTCTTAGCACCTCACCCAAGTTTTCAGCACTGTTCTGTATGTGGTTGGGCTTACAATAGTTCAAGTAATAATAGTCATATGGAAGTTGTGTCTTCGTAGAAGATAGCTTGTTGACTTTGACTTGAAGAGGATCTCCCTGGTACAAGGATCAGATAGTATTAGACATAAACTTGTTACATTAAAATAGATCAACAAGCTTTCAGAAACTAGAAAATAGTAAGATAAAAGGCAGAAAGATAAACCAATGAAGCCAACTAGGCTTCTCAATTTGATATAGGAACCTTAGAAAGTTGAAACAAATTCCGGATGCATTTTAATTCCCATGTTTATAAGGTAACATAAGAACATAAATCAAGCACCTAGATGTAAGATTTCGATAATTATATACAAGGACATGAAATAACAGGTATTTGGGTTCATCAAATAAAGCCTCGCCTTTTTTTTAGAGCATCATAATAGAAAGGACAGATAAAACTTTGGTTATTCATGAAAGAAACAACAAACACTACATAGACTATAGTACTGTGATCTATCAGGACAATTAGCTTTTAATCACATGGACAATCCTGTCCATAGAGTTGAGACATGATTATAGTTAGTGAGGGGAACATACTTACTCAATTTCTCACAAATCCTTAGAGCACCCACTACCAGTTACATGTCAAAACTATGTGGTCAACCAAAATTATAAGTGCCAACTAAACCGTTTCTTCCCACTTATTTGATCCGTACTCTACAGCACTTGAGCATCCCTTATCAATGAATTGATCTGCAGTTCACAACACTTGATTGGGTTCCATTCATTCATTCATGAACTCAAAAGTGAAGGTCTTAAGAAACTTCATAAAATTCATGAACGGGCCATTCCATTTGCGCTTTCAGCAAGTAGGCGACGCRAATCTATTTCTATGCTTCAATCGGATACCAATTGCTTGGATGCATTTGAACCCTCGAGATGACTTGCATCATAACTAATGCATACATAATACACCTAACAACTAACGCATAGACTCAACAGAAACAGCTGCTGCATCATGCAGATCATCCCAACATACCTCAGTATACATTGAGCAAATTATGATGTTTTTTTCCATAAGATCTACTGCCATTTAAAACAAAAATCTCTTGAGCATTGCAAAAATTAGCATCATCTGACAAGATCAACCAACAGCAACTGTGGTTATACTAATCACCAACGGAAAATCAAATCAGATTTGCTACATCGATGAAAGTACTCCATTCATCCCGCGAAAGCAAAGTGCACATCTCGATCGCTATTCATCTCATAACTAAGTCCTATTTCAAATTTTAAGCATCAAATAAATCCGACGATACTGAATTACGGTTCCTTTCTTACATACTCGACGAAAAATCATCTTCCTAATTTGTATTATACGTTCACAATGTCCAAAAAATTGCCTTTAAACAGACTCTTTTGGAAGAGAATAAATAGCACAATGCAAACAATACCTTCCGAAAACTAATCAACAACAAAAGCACAAACAACTATACTAAAAGCTTAATTCAACGTAAAACCCAAAACCCTAGATCCAAACTAGATTCATACGGATCATAAGCGATACGAAAACTACAACCGTTAAGTAAAACCAAAACCATAGATCCAAGTCGTTGTTGGTTAAACACATAAATAAACGTCGATCTTAACAAATTAAATCTGAAGAAAATGCAGCGATTAGATCCAACCTGTAACCATAATAATCGAGATCACGTACCCTTTGAAAATCACGAGGAGCAACGCCAGGCAAATAGAATGATTCAGAACATGAAATGAAGAAGACGATTGAGATGAAGAGCGTAAGGAGTAATCCATTAGAGCTCCACTCCATCTTCGATCGGAGTGAAAGACAGATCTTGATCGAGTGCAGGAAGGAACCAGAAGAAAATGCCGATGTCGTGTGACGTTAAATTATGAGTAAATTACTGTTTTTTGTCCTTGTAGTTTGTTAAAAACTACAGATTTCATCCCTGTGGTTTTGAAATTGTAATCTTCATTCCTATCATTTCTAATTCATTTCTATTTTCGTTCATAAGATTTATTATTACTTTTAAGTATAAGAAATTAAAATAAAAATGAATTGTAAATCACGGAACGAAAAAATTAATAAAGTTTAAATTATAAGGACGAAAAAGACAATGAATTATATATTTTAAGGATGAAAATCGCAATTTAAAATCATAAGGATTAAAATAGAAATTTTCAAGAAACCATAAGGACTAAAAACGTAATTTACTCTTAAATTATAGACGCCCTCAGATTTGTAATTCCACGTTCGTATTTGCTATTTCCAGTCTCCTCTTGGATTTCGTTATCTGCGCTAAAATATAAAATTAAATTAAATTAAAATAATAATACAAATTATGGACACCGACGCCGTGGACCGCCCTTCGCGCTAAAAAGAAAATAAAGTGAAAATAAGATTTATAAATTGCTTGCAATGTGAACTAATTACTATTTGACCGTTGTTGAATGGTTTGTTTACTTTTTACTCGTTTTATTAAAAAATGATTTTTGAATCATTAAGAGGTGAATCTTGTTTGGCAAAAAAAAAATCTGTCTATTAATAGTTTTAAAACCCTCTGAATGATTTTGTATCGTGGGTCTCTCTTAACCATTAAGAGCCCTAATTTCATCGTAAACAGTTATCAAACAATTATATTTCATTTTGCACAATATCATGAGAGCCTCTTAATAATTTGGACCACTTAATGATTCTGCACAGCAACTGCCAAACGGCCCCTTAATATCGGATGATTAAATACCTTCTTACAATATAGTACAAAATGAAATATAATTGTTTAATAATTATTCAGAATAGAATTAGGGTCTTGAATGGTTAAGGGAGGTCCAAGATATAAAATCGTTTAGAGGGTTTTATAATCATTATGAGACAGACTTTTTTTTGCCAAACAAGATTCACCTCTTAACGATTCAGATGTTGCCTCTGCATAGAACTATTAAAAGGTAAACAAACAACCCCTTAAATTTCTCTAACCATTTCATAGAATTGACATATTATACCATATAAAAAAACGGCTTCTTTTATTTTAGTTCGAAATTTCCGCTTTTAGAAGTAAGAGGTTATTTACCAAATACTTACCTTGTCGGGTATCATTTTTGATCATCAAAATAGACTGTCGGTAAGCGTTTTTGCAAAATAAGCGTTTATTGGGTAAAATTCGTCTCTATCACTTATCTGGCATATTTTAGGTACTTGTTATATGCATCCAGAAGAGAAGATAACTGACACCCGTTAGACGCTTATTCAATAATCGTTTGGTAAATAACCCCAAAAAACGTGTACCGTACGGGTCGTTGAAATCCTCTCAATTCATGTGGGGTTGCCATGAAACTTTCCACAAGTCGTTTCTAACATGGACAAAATTGGTTCGAATAAATTGAACTCGTTTTTGGTTTGATGTTTTCCCCCGGGGGGGCGGGGGCTGAGACACAAAGGCTATAGTAAAGAAATTCCATTAAACTTTCTCATTTGGACCAAACGTGCCAAATTGCCACGATAATTCCGTTAACCCCCTCCAATATTGATAAATAGCGTTGTAGTAGGAAAAAGAAAACCGGAGAAACCCCGTTTTCGTACCTAAATTTTTCAAGGCCTAGCTCATGTTGATTCGAACAAACGTGTATTGTGTGGTCGTTGAAACCTGCTAAATTCATGTCGGGTTGCCACGAAACTTTTCACGTGTCTTTTCTAACACGAACAGAAGTGAGATGAATAAATAAAACTCGTTTTCTATCCGATGTTTTCCAAAGGGTCTGTTTGGTCGAGGTACAAAGGCCAAATCGAACGACCGTGCCGGATTTCCATGACAATTTCTGTGGTCCATCTAGAATGTCAATGAAAAGTTTCCACCAGAAAGAACTTGAAAAAACCGTTCTCGTGCCGGAAACTGTCGGAGTCATCTCGCATTGGCCAAATCGAACGAACGCACGTCTTGTAGTTCGTCGAAACCCACTCAAACCATGTTGTATTACCACAAGCTTCCTACCCATGGCATGCTATTTAATGAAACTCACTCAAATCATGTTGTATTACCACAAAACTTTCTACTGTAACGTGCTTCTCATTCAGAGCTTTTATTTAACTAGTCATGAGCCTAAAATGAAGTTCGTAGCAATAGTTATACACGTTTAAGCGCAACACCCATTTTTTGTCGATACACCAAGGTATACCCTTGGGTTTTTTCTTGTCCAGACCGACCGTGCCAGATTACCATGAAAATTTATGTGGTTCATCTGCAATGTCAATGAGATGTTTTCCACCGGTTAGAACTTGAAAAAAACCGTCCTCATGCGAGAAATTTATGGAGCCGCGCATTGGCCAAATCGAACGAATGTGCGTCATGTAGTTCGTCGAAACTCACTCAACTCATCTTGTATTACCACGAAATTCCTACCATAGCGTGCTCCTCGTTCCAAGATTTGATTTTACTTGTCATGGGCCTATAACGGAATCCCGTAGCAAAAGTTATGCATGTTTAAATGCGACGCTCATTTTTGTCGGATACACCAAGGGTATACCCTTGGGTTTTTCTCGTCCGGACCGACCGTGCCGGATTGCCATGAAAATTTTTGTGGTCCATCTGCAATGCTAATGAGAAGTTTTCCAGCAGAAAGATCTTGAAAAAACCCGTTCTCGTGCAATTCATGTTGTATTACCACAAAACTTCCTACCCTGGCGTGGCGTGGCGTGGCGTGCTCTTCATTCCAAGTCCCGATTTGACTGGTCATGGGCCTAAATGAGTCTCGTAGCATAAGTTATACATGTTTAAGCGTAACACCCATTTTTTAGCCGATACATCAAGGACAAAGAAATCCCATAGAATTTTCTCATTCAGACCGACCGTGTACAAAACATTCATAAATAACTAAAAAACCGTTTTGATGCCTCAAGTTTCCAAAGCGTTGCTCGTGAACGAATGTGTGTGTCGTCGAAACACGCTCAATTCATGTTGGGTTGCCATGAAACTTTCCACAAGCTGTTTATAACACGAACAAAACTGATTCGAATAAATAAAACTCATTTTTACTACAATTTTTTTCTGATGGGTCCGTTTGGTCCAAGCGCAAAGGAACCTCGTTGTATTTTTCTCATTCAAAATGACCTACCGTTCTAGGTTGCCGCGAAACATTTCATGAGCCCTCTCCAACATCAGTAAATAGTGTTGTATCCGCAGAAACTTGAAAAACCCCGTTTCTGTACCTAGAATTTTCAAGGCCTAGCCCATGTCGATCTGAAGGAACGTGTATCAGGTGGGCCGTTGAAACTCACTCGATTCATGTTGGATTGCCACGAAACTTTCTACACATCATTTCTATCACGGACAAAAGCGATTCAAATAAATAGAACTCGTTTTCGGTTCGATATTTTCTCGAGGGTCCGTTTTGTGAACCCTCTCCAACGTTAATAAATAGTCTTATAAAACCTCGGTTGGGGAGGGAAACGACTGTTGTTTTATAAACGGACAAAATCTAGTACGGTTAGTCTGGAATATTACAGAAGATTACTGGAAATACACCATGAAGATGAATAGAGCACCAAATGTGTCCTAAAGGCAAAGATTGCCACAAGTGAGTGTGTTTCTACAAAGATATAAAACATGATCCAAATCCCGACCCTAAAACGGAACTTAAAACACGATACATTCAACGCTCAAAGAGTTATACCCTACGGAGATGAACAAGTTAGGATGTGAGATTTGAATTTCTCGAGCTCGTTGATGACTTCCTCTTGTGGTCTATGAATCAAATCGATCATCCTCCATATCTGCATGTTTTCATCCATACAAATGTTTGATTTCAAGGGGTCGATCACCAAATAAGATTCATATGTTTTGGAGAACGTAGTAAGATCATACCTGTAGCGTTCCACCACCACCGGTGCTTTCACCATCGTCGGATACACTCACAATCGTCCATGGATCGTGTGAGTTCCAGTGAAAATCAACCACCTTATCCCTGAAATCATACCACAACTTCCACTCATAACGGACCTAGAAATTTTTTCAAGTGGTGGTACCATTTGACTATAAAAAACGAAGCTACAGATATTTTTTACAAAATCATAATTGTATGTGAGGTCCTGTGTTCGAGTCTTTTATCCCAAAAAAATTTAAAAATATAATAAACCTGAAATTAAAAGCTAAAAAACTAAGAAAATGATGCATATTGGATTCGAACCAGCGTCTGAAAGAGGAGAAAAGACCGTGCAAACTAATTCTACCAAGAGATCCTTCAGTTATTATTGTAGTTTCAAGAAATATACGGTTGCATCCAACAAAATAATGTGGTGGCACCTTTCACGACGCTAAGAAAATTCACACTATGACGGAAAAACGAATATGCACCATAGTGGGTTCGCCCCTATATAAAAATCAAACCAAACCACACGAATGCATTATATCCACACAAGATAAGGTCTGGAGGGTAGGATATACACAAACCTTGGAGGAGCGAGAACATAAAATTTAGAGTAAATTATGATTTTCATCCCTGTGGTTTATTAATAATTTTGATTTTCATCCTTGTGGTTCAGAAATTGCGACTTTCATCCCTATGATTTGCAATTCATTGCTATTTTAGTCCCTAGATTAATTCCTACCTTTAAGTATAAGGGATCAAAACTATAAAGAATTGTAAACCACAAGGACCAAAAGAATAATAAATCGAAAATCATAAAAACGAAAATAGCAATGAATTACAAACCAATGGACAAAAAACACAATTTATAAACCACCGGGACGAAAATCACAACTTTAAACAAACCATAGGGACGAAAAACATAAATTACTCTAAAATTTATTATTTTATAAATACTTGGTTAGGGGCATTAAATATATTATACATTTTAATAATATAATTAATGCTAAAATCCCCCAAATGGAGTTACAATTGCAGTTGAATATAATTTTTTTTAAAGATTTCAACTTCTATTTTTTCTATTTTAGTGAAATTATGGAGAAACCGTCGAAGATGCACCGACAAGTTTGCAATATCCACCTTTGTACTTTGACCAATAATCTTTAGATAGCTTAAGGTCAATTTTCTCTTTCTTTTACGTTGCTAAGATGTCATAATGTGAAAGCAAATTACGAAGAAAAACGTAGGGGGTGTGTGTGATCCGCTATATTGAATATTAAGCAAATGAAAGAAACTTTGTACCGGTGCCCAGAGTGACGGAACAATAAGCCTGGTGCAAATTTCGAGGCAGGACCAGAGCGTTCACCAATCTGCACACGAACAATACGCTTAAAAGACGATAAAGTGTTGCAAATTTAAATGTCGCATGATGATTAATATATTGTTACCAACCTTATTGTGATCCCAGATGTTCAAGACACCATCCTCAGCCGAACTTCCAAAGATGGACGATTTGTCTGGAGACCACTGAAATATGTATGTGTGTATATATGTAACTTGCTGAATGAAGTGTTGATAATCCGGAATGGTGAAAAGGGTAAAAACTTCTGGAAAAAATGAATACCTGTACACAAAGGACAGCGGCGTTGTGGTTTGTAAATATGTGCACGGGTGATCCAACGCCATTAGAAGTAAGATTTCGACGATCAAACAAACGAACAGTGTTATCAGCGGACCTGAAAAAGAAAATAGTTACTGGGCTCAGAAACGTTTACCCCCTTGCTTAATTCCTTACAATTCTGGCAAAATATGTTTTACTATCTTAAATGGATATCAATAAACAAGCATAGGGGAAAGTTTATTTAGGAATAGTAAATATTTTGAGAACTATGAGAACCAACTATTCATGAATTATTCATGATGAATACACCTAAATATTCATGATTTCTTTTAAATATATAATATTTATATACGGCAAATGAACTTACACACCCTCCTCACCTTTGGTTGGTTGAACCCCTGACCTCCTGAAAGGTTGGGCTCTACAGGTAACCCAAATACTGCTAGGCCAAAGGCCCTCTGGTTTCATGAATATTATTATCATAAATATCATACATTTTCATTATTCATGATATTCTTCGACAAATATATATCACAATATTCATCATGAAAAGTTGGTTCTTAAAATGTTTACGGTCCTCAAATGAACCTGCCCCAACAATGCAAATGCAATAAATAACACCTCAAAAGACAATATATGTGCGTTTTACCCTGTTAAAATGAAATTTTCATCAATCGGGTTCCAATCAACACAATGGAGATCAGCATTATGCGCTTTCTCGACCTGCAAAGAATAATAAAATAAGCTTAAAAAATATGTTATAAACCAAATATTAGTTCGCCGTACACATTGGTGTGCAGTTTCGTTAAAGATGTGCTACTTTGTTGCATACATTGTACATTGGAGTACTAATCAAATACAAAATTGAATCTTTGCTGTTTTAGAATGTGTTTTCCTTCTTTGCCCACACAAAATAAAGCACGAATTGATGAAAACTCCTATAAAAAGTAGATGCGAAGATCACCTTGACAACCGGAGAAGACCCGGTTCTCGCATCCCATAGAATAAGACAAGAGTCGTCACCAACACTACAGAATTCTTGTGCACTTCACTCACCACATATATAATAGAATTCAAACCAATTAGACTCGCCATAACCATTGGATAGGAAAAAGGATAATCACAAAAATAGCCAGAATCAGGGAATACCCACAACAAAATAGCCACAATTTTAGCAATTATTTTCGCAAAAACCCAACTTTTCGCGAACATTACTTTTTGTAAGACTTTTTTCTCGGTTTTCATGAACTTCACAAAATCCTCTTTCTTTTTGCAAAAAAAAAATCAGTATTATCAAAGAGTGAGAATGGGAGGGTGTTATAAATGCATTCTTGGAATTACTAAAGAGAGAAAAATGCATATATGGCACAACCCAACTTAACACTCTCATAATTTCAAGAATGCATTTATGACACCACTCCCATTCACATTCTTTTACCAAAAAAATAGTGTTTTAAAGAATTGTAATGTAAATTTCACAAAAAATAGGGTTTTGACTTTGAGAATTCTTTTTGCGAAAAATCCCAAATGTAAAAAAAAACTGACAAAAAGTACTATTCACAAAAAGTTAGGTTCGTGCCAATATTCTTTGTGAAAGGTCCCGAAAATTGAAAACAAAATTCTGAATGAAACTACAGTTTGCAGAAAAGATGGGCCTTTGCAAAAGTGGTGGCTATTTTGAGCTAGTTCGGAAAAAGCTGGCAATTTTATGGTGTCTGCGATTTTGTCTATTTTTGTGGATATCCCTACAAGAAATCATGTTCACATCATAAAGACAGTATCAAGATACCTAGAAGGGCAGAACTGAACATCCTCCACAGTATCTTCATGCCCTTGGAAGATACCTCTTGCTTGAATTTTAGGGCTCTCAGTAGGTTTCTCATCAGCCTTCGGGCTTTTACCGCCATTAGATCCCGGAGATTTCGTTGCTCCGGAATCCGTTGCCAAAGTGGAGATGTGATCATGAATACTCCACAACACAACAGACTTGTCCTTGCCTGCCAGAACAACAGAAAGTTCGATTAAGTACATCAAATAAATTAGTTATTTTGAGAATCAGAACTCGGAAGAATACAAGTGAAGGAGCTACCCAGATATATATACATATATATATATAATCAGACACATAATCATTTACAAAACCATTAAATCATACAATCTTACAAACAAGTTTTATGTGTTGTTTTACATATAAAATGACACGTGTGAAAATGCAGTGTTTGTACGGTGTTGTTTCATATGTGAAATGTTCAAGACTGTTTTGTGTGGGGCAAAAACAACCCTGAAAGTTTCACATACAAAACACTACTTTACAAACACTGCATTTCCATACGTGTTGTTGCATACATATGGAACAATACATGTAAACTGGTCCGTAAGTTTGTGTACGAATTATTGGGTTTGTAAAAGAAGGGGACACTATCAAGGGTAAAGTTGTCATTTTTGGTCAAGTAAAAAGCATAATAATTATTCATGTCTAAAACTGTGTGTCATTATCTACTAGACACTTATTTTCATACGGAGGGAGTACATTGATCCTTGTTTCTTATCTGGCTATATTATAGGAAAGATTGTTGTAAGTTGTAACCCAACACTACTCCGATATATTTGCATCAAAAACCATAACCCAAAAGCATAGTTTTGCAAATACAAAGCATCACCTCCAGAGAGTACAAAGGGTTCGCTTTGGCACATAGCAAGAGCAAATTCTGCATCTTCTTGATGACCGGTCAAGATCTGCAAGGTGAAGAATGTAAAATTAATCAACTTTCCGCCTTGAGAACCGAGAAAAATGTTAAATAACAATTATACAAACCCACATGACTAAAAATATCCACAACTCCACATCACAATAAAGAAGCATGCACAAAGAACAGCATGACGGAAAGATAAAACCAAACCAAATCGACAAAAGTTCCAACTGGAAAGTAGAGTTGGTTGAGATGTACACATACCTGACCTCTACCCCAAAAGTGTAGAATGGTTGTTTCCGTGAAAACCCCCCAGCTTGTGCAAGAGTGTGAGCAAACAGATAGAAGGAACAAAGACTGGCACATCATCAACATGGACCGAGAAAAATAAGAAGTACCAAAGGGCCATTGGCCCATTGGTACCCAGGTTACTTGTAGAGCCCAGCCTCCAAGGAGGTCAAGGGTTCAAACCTCACCAAATGTGAGAAGTGAGTATTTGTCATATATAAAATGTTATATACTTTACAAAAAGTAATGAGTAGGTACATTGAAAACATACAAAAGGTAGGCAGAACACACACACAAACACAGAGCAAGTAAGGCAAAAACACAAAAAGGCAGTAACCGTGTATATATGACTATCTACAACGACCCACCAGATCAGGACGGGACTCTGTGGCTCCCAGGACAGCATGGCGATTGGGCTGAGCTTCAACATCCCAGATAAGAACCTGGTTTCCAAGGGGAAAAAACAAAGAGGAATAAAGTCATATTGATCGAACTATACATCAAAACTAACCAAATATGGACAAAAAGTGAAACATGTAAAAAAATGCATACATCGGGACTGTCTGTGTGTGTGGCTACTATTTTGCTGTTCTGAGGAAGCTCCCTGATCCGATTTACCTTCCCAAAGGAAAAAGAAATATGTGATTAATAAAATAGTTTTGAGGCAGTTCGATAATTGTTTTATATGAGAAATTAGCGACCACGCCAATCATCCTAATTACAGCATGTTGCCTAAAATTGGAGCAAGAATTCATGGTGTTGTATGCAATATAAAATGCTTGTATATTTAATTTATGACATAAGTTTTAACCCTGACCTGAACGCATATGCAATCACTTTCATTTAGGGTATGTTTGGCAAACTAGCAGATAAGCTAGCTGCTAGCCTAGCTAATAAACTAATCAAGTTTAGCAAAAAAAATAGCTAATAAGCTAGCTGAGAAACGTAAAAGGACCCACAAGGACACTTTAAAAAAATCAATCAATTCTAACATATATAATATAACTAAAACAAATTAATGATATTATAAATGTTATAATTATATATATACATAATTATAGATGTGGATTTGTGTAACCAAATAGGAATTTTAGAAAGAAAAAAAGTTATATTAATTCATAACTAAAAATTAATCTTAATTCATAATTTTAAAAGGTAATATTAATTATAATTTATAATTTATAATTTACAATTAATATTGATTAATATCAATAAATAACAACTAATAATAATCAGGGGCATAATTGGAAGAAAAAAGTGGCAAAAAGCTCCTGGTAGCATTTCAATAAGCTCGCTTAGAGCATATATGCTATATTTTTTCTAAATGAAGTATCAAAGGTCAAAATCTTTAAAAAAACTACATCGTACTCCAACAGCTATCCTATTTTAAAGATTCTAACATTAATTATATTATTAAAATATTCAATACATTTAATAAAATAGTATTTCTCCCTCTTACTCCAATTTTGAAGAATTATAGATTCTCTCTCTTCCTTTCTCTATTTTAGCATACGTTATAGCATACCTGTTGGAGCAAAAAAAATCTCCAAAACCACCAGATTAATCCTATTTTAGCATAGCTGTTGTAGTCTCGGAGATTCTCTTATGACCATCTAAACGAGGCTTTTCAAAAAATAAGTTGGCTTGTGGCTGCCAAACATGACCTTATACCATCCATTTATTTTTAAAGATATCTCCATACGTGGATTGACAAATCAACTTCAACAAACTCGGTTAAATTAATCTTGGTCTATGAAGAACATCATCAAAAAAAAGATGCATGAATGATTACCTCTCCAGGATGGATAATGGTTTTAAACTTCTTTACAAAGGGAGATCGTGCTTCTTCATTAAACTACAGCACCAGTGGTCGTTAGTCAAATAAATTAACAAAAATTTGAAATCAAAATTTAGTGTTTATGTAAGAAAAATAAACAGAACCATAAACTACAAATTTCAAACTAATGTGGGGACTTACCTGTGCTATATGTTCAGCAGCTGCAACTCTTGGTTTAACAATTTCACAATTTGCTATCACGAGCGTGTTTGGAACGCTACCATCGGTCTGGAAAAAGGTTTAAGAATGTAAGACAATACAATAAATGCGAAACGTTTTGTTTATTATCCAACGCTCGTTTGCATGTGGGATAATAGCACAAATTTTGGAATGATTAACAGTTAAAGATGACGGCCTTTTATCTCACGAACTAGTTTTTTCTTCTTATGAAAAGGTTTTGTTTCTTTATATTCTACGCTTAACATAATTGACAAATCACCTAATAAAATCCTACTGGTTCTCGATTGGCAAATAAAAGCTAGGCCTTGGGGCTCTTCCCCGTAGATCGCACGTTCGAATCTACCATTGGGTATTTTCCTGATTGTTATCTCCAAGGTCCCTTGGAATTAGTCGAGGGGTGCACCAGCCGGCCAGTCACCCATGGTCACCCAAAAAACGATAATAAAAGAGTGGGTCCTAAGATACTTAAGAGCATCTCCAACATCTATGTATAATTTTTTTTCTAAAATAGAGAATTTATAATCAAAAATTATAAAAAAAATTACATCCAACTCCAAGAGCTACTCTATTTTAACAATTCCAGCATTAATTATATAATTAATATATTCTACAAATTTATTATCCCAATACACTTTTTAGAAACTTTATAAAAAAAGTATAATACATTCAACCTCATTGGTGGAAAATATTAAAATAATATTTCTCTCTCCTCGGTATTAAATTTTAGAGATTTCTCATTTTTACCTCCTTTCTCTTTTTTTCTCCATTTTATCATAGTTGTTGGAGCAAAAAAAGCTCCTAACTCCCTAAATTATCTACTTTAACATAGCTGTTGGAGATGCTCTAAGATTTGATGCTCACCTCTAGCTGTATTTTCTCCTTTCAAGTTGTTCAGCTAAGCTGTCAGATGTAAATCTACCGAATTTATAACCAACATTCTTATTGGTCAAGAGTTCGAACCTCCCCAAAAGAGAAAAGTGTGTGAGTTTAATTTGTCGTATATAAATATTATATACTTAAAAACATCATTCACCTGTTCTGAGAGGTAGAGTCGCTGGCGATTCTTGTATGTAGCTTGCTCTAGTAGCGGCCCCCATCTATTAACAAAACAAAAGCCAATGTGAGTAATATATATATATATATATATATATATATATATATATAACTCCCCAAATTATCAGCAAAACAAACTTACATGGAATGTATCTATGATGTTTCTCAGGAATTCAGCAAGCATACAACAAGTTTAAAGCATAAAATAGGCAGGGGCCTCACATAAAAACAGGGGCGTATTTAAGGAGGGAGGGGCGCCTGTGCTACCGCTCTATCATGCTGACATAGTGGAAATCTTTTTACGAGTCTTAAAAGTGCACTCGTTTTAATTTAGTGTGTGCTCCCTAATTTTACAAAAAGTGACTACAGACTACTTGTGGTATCATTGCAATGTGGCATTGTAGGTTGCATGGTCGAATCTTTTTGGTTCTCTTCTAATTTTTGGTAACAGCACAAAAAAAGAAGAAAAAAACAACTTGGGTGTTGCAAAAAAACTATTAAACCATACTTTTTATGATTAAATTTTGTTTTATTTTATATTATGCTAATTAATTTTTGCCTCCTCTTAGAATTTTCTTCTGGATCCACTAATACATAAACAGATTAGTCAATACTTCAGTCAAAACCCTAATGGTGGCAATTGGATTTCACAGTAAGTTTTACGAAACTCAAGTTCGAATATCTTAGGTGGCAAAGGGGTGGACTGGCTTTGCTCAAATACACAAATGGGTTCAATTTTGAATCCTGCCGGAGACAGGCAGGCTTTAACCCCTCTGCTAGGGGGCGGGTTTCATATTGGGGGGTCGGGTTGTAGCAATCAACCTTTTGATCAAATATGTCAAACTAACAATATCATCTCCTAAAAACAGCAAAAAGGGAAGTAATCGGATCAAATAGCCCTAATTATAACGTATTAAAGCCTACATAATTACATATATTAAAAGCTAGACAGATAGGGGTTAACAAGTTCGTCGTTTCCACTCTGTGCCTACTTCGATCTTACAAATAACACAGTACGGATTGAAAATGTGAAGTTGAAATTCAGAAGTATTGCATCACTTTAATCACCAAACACATTTACAGTTGATGAAATTGAGCAAAAACCAGTGGATTAAATGTAGCTCAAATCAAATCGGTCGGAAAAGAAAAACAAAACAAAACAAAACCCTAGAATGTAAAGGGATTGTACGAACCGGCAAGAAAGAGAAGGCCAAACGAGATTGTGATTAGCGAGCCAATCGTAGAGAATGGGAACGAGAGACTTCCACTGTGTGTATCGTTCGTTCACCGACGGCTGACCTCCTCCTTTCCCGCCTCTTTCCTTCATTCTCTCTCTCTCTAACTACACTGCCCTACTCTTCTGGCTCTACAGTACTGGTGAAATCCAGCAAGAGAGTGTTTTCTTAGTTGCAAAAACTCGAATGTTGTTTGGTTTTTCTAACCTTGGAATCAAGATGCTGTCATGATCTAGGTCTCAAAACTTATTGGTGACAATTTTGTACCATAGCCAGACCAATTGATATATAACAATATTACTCATTAAATAGGTATCAATTATAGTTGGTTTGTATATAGTATCAGGGTGGGTTTGTTTACATCTAAGAGGCAGTCTCTAAATCGTTAGGAGGTAAATATTGTTTGGTAAAAAAATTCGGTTTCTTAATAGTTCTAAAAATTCTCGAATGATTTTAGATCATGGGTCTCTCTTGACCATTCAGCAAATAATTTCATTGTAGACAATTACCGAACAATTATATTTCATTGTGCACTGTATCATGAAAGTCTCTTAATTATTTTGACCACTTAATCATTCCACACCAAACCATTCAGCAACTTTAGGAGTTTCGTATTGTAACATCGCAAGCTAGCCATACGAGATATGGTCTGCTTTGTACACACCAAAACTAACGGTTTTAAAGAAACGTATGAGACAACATTTGTTCCCCTCCCCAACCGATGTTGAATCTTACAATTCACTTCACTTGGGAGCCCATCGTCCTCACCAGCATATCAGTCAAAGACATATCCAGGGAAAAAAATCAAGTAGTGGCACAACTTGACTATAAAAAATACTTGATCTTTTTCACAATATTAATATAGATCTGTTGGTTGGTTTATTGTCATTGTATAGAAAAAACTCATGTTTTGAGTCCGATCTACGTATGTTTTTAAAAACACAGGAGGTGTATAAAACAACAACGAATATGACGATCAGGGGACTCAAACCTACGTCTTTTGTACAAAGGCATGAGCATTTACCATCTTAGCCATTAAAATATTGTGTTAGTATCTTTGATTCAAAAACTATATTGTGACATCCTTAAAAAACGTAAAATGCCCCCCTTGCAACAGAACTACGAAGCAACGACTTGTGCCACTGTATCTATCCATGTGGGGTCCACCCCCTGTGTCTGGCTATTGGCTCTGATACAATTTGTAACATCTCAAACTAACTGAACCATATATTATCCGTTTTGTCAGTACTTTGATTTATGACTTTAAAACGCGTCTAATAGACGAGGTATTCAGTCCCTTGTAAGGCAACTTTTGTTCTTTTCCCAATTGATGTGGGGATTTTACACGTATCATGGTAGTACCATGGTACGTCGTACTGATTTATTTAACTATTTATTAGTTTTTGTATTTTTGATATATTGAATATTAAATATCATAACATCAACTTTTTTGTTTAAGCTTTCGGCTATTTTTACGTTTACTTGTTGCAATTGAAAACCCCTTGAACATGACATGTTTTACATATAAACTCAAAATCTCACGCGAACTTTGAACAAACTCGCAAGTTTTCATATACGTAACTTTAAATTGATATAAAATAGTATCAACTGAAAAAATGATGGTGTGAATTAAACTGAGACCAACTATGATTTATTGTTGCACTGTATAAGATTTTGTATACCAGTTATAATTGGTTGGTACATGATATTCTCATTGGTTGGCATCTTCAAATTGTTATTTTTTTTATTAACATGGATATCCAACTCGCTATGTGAGCTATGGGTGTTTGCGGTCCGGTTTGGACGATCTAACCCCTTAGACCACAAACCAAACCGTAATGGCGGTTTATAGAATTTTCAAACTGAGCGGTTTGACATCAAGTGTCCAAACCGGTCAAACCAGACCATAAAAGGCAGTGTAGTCTGACCGGTTTAGGTGGTTGGGCCTTTAATGAACTTGAACATATTGAGTTTGGAATCGAAAAACTTGAAGGAAAGAGTTGAATTACTTGGTTGATGTGTTGATGATGTGCGCTGAAATCAAACAATGGATTAGGATAGATTGATAGAGTTATTGAGATATTTCAAAAATTGGAGATCGTCAATATCAAATGTGTCGATATGTTTACAGGCTTAGGGATTTTTAGGCGTCGATTCATTTGGATTTGATTATGTTAAATGTTAGGCTTTGTATTGGGTTTAATGATTTGGGCTATAGCCCATAAGTTAAAAAAGTTGGGTTTGCTAATACTAATATGTGTGCGTGTGTGTTATATGTATTTGGTGTTTGATTTGGTCCAAACTGCCCAAAAAGGGTTCCAGAGCGCAGACCGGATCGTCCAGTTTTGTTATTTTTCAAACCAGATCAAACCGCCAAAAAAGATTCGGTTTGACTTGATTCGGCCGGTTTGAGCGGTCCAACGATTTTTTTGAACACCCCTGGTGTGAGCCGACTAATCCTAGGACGATCACCCGCTTTGCTGGTAGTATGGAGTCGCCACATTTGAATCTCTATGGCCACGAGGGGGATTTTTATTCTTCCTTGATTCGAACATGTGACATCTAAACACTTTTGACCTTTGGAGTCCAAGCTCAGACCAATCCAACACCACTCTTGTGGTTCAAATTATTATTTTTAAATGGCGTCGAATTGATTGTTTATTATGATATAACAATCATGTGTATTATTTTAGTGTATGCTCGAGTCGTATTCTCATTGCTTTAAATCTATGATAATTGGACGATTAATTGATGGTCGATTGTTTTGGAACTAATCGATAGTTTGGCAAGTGTTGGTTTTGTTGTAACTGTGATTGTTGTTATGATTACAGATTTCCAGTTTGGAGTGTTTACTATTTGGATAAGACGGTTTGCGACATTTTTACGATCCAATTATAACGGTTTGGAAATATTTAAACTCAGAGGATGTTCACAAAATCTTTTATTAAATCATGTATGGATAATTTTGTCTGTCCCGATAAATTCGTCTCTCTGGATAAATGGGTGTTGTTTACTTTTTTTATTTGAATCAACAGTCTGAATAACATAAATGAGCGATTTACCCCCCAATATTAATTATTTGAACATCAAAACAAAAAATTATAAAGAGACCGAAGATGGGTGTCTCATATAGAAAACTTTACATCTAAGGCATCAAAATGAAATTTTTGAAAGTACGTTACCCAAAATATAAATCAAGTTAAAGTATGTTACTTTTTAATGTAATTTGCTCTATAATACATATAATAAAAAAAGTAAAAATAAAAACTAGAAATAGCACAATGATGTACTTTTGAAACCATCAAGTACATTAATTGTGCATTTGAGCATTTAAAGATTATATATCATCACAATTAATATGTACTATATGATTTCTCATAATAAATTTATAATAATGGAAATCTGCTTGAATAATTAATAACAGTATTTACTCAATATTTATTGGATTTGTGTTCTCTTTTTTTTTTTACATGATCAGATATGAGGGTTTTTTTTAGTGTAAATTAATAAATATCTGGTGTTAAAAGGATTTAATCATCTGAGAACTGTAAAATTTACAAGATCTGTGAGAATTTTTAGGGGTCGTTTACCTAAACACTTATCCGGTAAGCACTTACCTATAAAATTCAATACTATCGCTTACTTACCGGGTAAGATTTTTGTTTTCACTAAAACGCATTGTATGCAACAATTTATCCCGGTAAGCGCTAACCATGGTAAGAGTTCTCGTCTCACTTACCGGGTAAGACTTTTGATTATTGTCTTCGCTCTTAGCGGGTAATATTTTTAGTTCTTGCCATATTCATCCGTTAAAGTAAAGTGACTTGGTAAACGCTAACCTGGGTAAGCGTTTGGTAAACAACACCTTGGTGTAAATTAATAAATAGCTGGTGTTAGAAGGATTTAATCACCTGAGAACTGTAAAATTTGTAAGATCTGTGATAATTTTTATTTTAAGGTTATGTGTTACATATTTTTTTTGCAAATTATATGAAAAGGTAACGTACTTTAACTTGATTCGTATTTTGGGTAACGTACTTTTAAAACTTAATTTTGGTAGCTAAGATGTAAAATGTTAAACATTTAAGTGTCCGGGTAACCAGTTGAAGCATTAACTGGTTACCATGCTGATGTGGCGAGTAATGACTTAATGTGGTATTCAACTCAGTATTATTTGTTGACATGGATATCTTAATCTAACTGATTAATGCTTCAACATGTTTAACCGATTAATATTTTAACCGGTTACATGTGTACTTAAATGTTTAAAAATGTACATCTTATGTACGAAAAGAAAAGTTTTGAAAGTACGTTTCCTAAAATAAGAGTCAAGTTAGTGTACGTTACATTTTCATGCAATTTTTCTTTTTTAAACAAATTATAATATTTAATGTTTTTATTAACATATATTTGTTTCACATGTACTCGGTTCACAAGTTATTTGGCGTTTTGTGAAAGAAAATAATACATGTAAACACATTGTGAACCGAATACATATGAATTAAACACATTATGAAATAAATATATGTCAATCACTACATTAAATTATAGCCATAAACGAAAAAACATATGTAATAACACATGATGCACTGGTTTTTAGTGATCTCACGGTTTAATGTTAAGATTGGATCAAATTATACATTAAGAATGTAAAAAGTAAGTCTCAAGGGTTGTTTGTCTGTTTCACAGTTGTTGAATGATATGATGCAGAATGGGTTAAACGGTCAGAATGATTAAGAGACTCTTATAATATAATGCAAAATGGAATATAATTGTCCAGTAATTGTTTACAATGAAATTATGGTGTTGAATGTTTAAGAGAGACCCTGGATACAAAATCATTCACAAAGTTTTAGAACCATTAAGAGACATGTTTTTTTGCCAGACAAGATTCACCTATTAATGATTCAGATATTACATCTTAATATAACTATTAAAAATTAAAAACATGGAAACAAGTATTTCAAAAAATAAAAAGACTTTAGAATCTTATTCCCATTAATTAAACGTGGTTTTTATTTTTTATGATAAATTACAAATCCAGTCCTTCAACAATTGCTTGATCTGTAAATTGGTCTAAAAATTCAACTAAAAGATAAAAATAAATACGTTTTTTTAATACGGGTTACTTATTTTACTGGATTAACATAATAAATGCCTAAAATCTTAGAGGCGGTTTACTCAACGTTTACCCAGTAAGCGTTTACCGTCGAGAATCAATACTTTCACTTATTAGTCTATTAAAACGACATTGTATATAACGTTTTATCCAATAAGCACTTACAATGTAAGAATCTTGGTTGTTGTCATCGCTCTTATTTGGTAAGGTTTCAGTTATGTTCATCCAATAAGGTAAAGTGACCTGGTAAGCGCTTACCGAAAAAATGTTTAGTAAACGGCCCCTTACTCGATAAAATACAAAGTAAGAAACGAGAATATTACGCGATAAATGAGTGCGAAGATTCTTACCAACAAACACTTAGGTGTCGTTTACCAAACTTTTACCCGGGTAAGCGCTTACCAAGTCACTTTATTTTACCAGATATATATGCCAAAGATTAAAAATCTTATCCAATAAGAGCGAATGCAATAATCGAGAGTCTTACTCGGTAAGTGAGAAAAATGACTCTCACCATGGTTAGTGCTTACTGGGATAAATTGTTGCATATGATGCGTTTTAGTGAATAAAATCTTACTCGACAAGTAAGCGATAATATTGGATTTTACCTGTAAGTACTTACCGGATAAGTGTTTAGGTAAACGGCCCCTGGTAGATAAGACTATTGCATATGATAGCCATTTTGATGGTCAAGAATCTTCCCATATAAGATTAGTAAGAATGATGACTTTAACGATAAACGTTTTTGTAAACAGCTCTTGAATACGCAGATTGAGCAAAAGTTTCAAATTTCAATGATTAAATATGTAGTTCGCTCGTTTTATTAGAGTAACGTATGCTTATAAATCGTGAATACATCAAATCCAAAATTACAGTTGTTGGTTGTTGTTTATGAATTTTGATTATACAAATGCATACAAGTCTGTCCAACGTTGACTTTTTGTTGATTTTATTTATTTTTAAACATTAAACGTAAAACATAAATTATGGTAAATGTTAATAGATGATACTTACGAGATCAGGTTTATAAGTTATTATAAGTCAGGTACAACTTTATATTTGAACTAAATAAAATTAGGGTTGTTTGACGGTTGCTGAATGATTTGGTGTAGAATTATTAAGTGGTCAAAATGATTAAAAAGCTATCATGATATAGTGCAAAATGAAATGTAATTGTTTGGTAATTGTTTACAAATTATCAATTAACGTTTAAATATGTATAAACGATTAGTGATGCATATTAAATCTGTTCATAAATTTACCATCACCCACGTTACAACTGATTGATATCCGCCTTTAGCGAAGCCAGCCCATAACAAAATGTTAGACCGGCTAACACAACTGAATTGGTTGAGGAAAAGGAAAAGAAATTCAAAATACACGAAATCAAGGGACCAAATTTGGTTTGCAGGGTTTATAAAAAATTACATGGTTTGTATTTAAAATACACACACATACATATACATAGAGAGTTAAAGCGATAAACGTAAGAAGAAATCTAGATAATTGATCACCTTTAATCTCAAACCAACCAATGAATTATGCTTTATAAGAGAATTGATGTGATAGAACTCTTTAGTTAGGATTGATCAAAGAGTATAAATACATTCTTACTTTTTTTTACCATTCTCACCGAAAACTCAACCCCATGTGTGTGTATATATATACACATACATACATACTTGGGATCATGTGAAACCAACATGTTTTCATGAGACCAATTTTTTTACACTTGAAGCTTCACAGTAAAACATTGTGAAGGTTTGACTTTTTTTACCTTCACAACATTTTGCTGTGAAACTTCAAGTGTAAAAGTTTGGTCTTACGGGTCTCACAAAAACAGACCGGTCTCACGTAAACCCAACTATGTATATATATATATATATATATATATATA